ATCGGGTATCCGCCAGAATCACAGCTGAGGCATGCGTCATCGATATTCCATTGAGCCGACCAATTAGGACCCAGCTGAGAGGAATATTGTGCCCAGCAAATTGACACCAGACTTCATCTATAAATACCGAATCATAATCGTACAGAATGGTGCAAGCGCAAGGCTGCCTGACATCCCTTATGCCAGCGCTATGTGGACTGAGTCTGTGATGGAGGAAGTATATGTTGTCGTCTTATCCATTCAATAACAGTCGTATTGCAACCCAGCACAAGAAACCACATCCTTGTTGATCCAGCTTCAATAAACCACGGAGCTATTAACAAACCAAAGACAGCAAAGACTACGTTTTTTTGGTCTAGAGACTACACAGTTGGTTTTATCTAAAATAAATAAACATGGAAAAGTTGGCTGCTAATTGGCTGCTAATAAATATTATTATCAGTTACGGCTTGACTACATTATGCACTATTCGCAGCCATGTCACTGCGATCGGAAGAGCTGACTTCACTCTTCCAAAATCTGACAGCAGAGCCATAATCACGCTAACGAAACCAATTCAAAGTTACCACCACGGTCAAGCCAGCCCGGAGATGAATTTGACGTAACAAGAGAGTGTGTGGTTATGATTTCTAATAAATCAGCACTTAAAAACGACAGATTTGTGGATAAATTTCCTATATTTAGGTCTGATACGCAGGCAGGACCACGCTTGACACTCGACTCTGGAACCCTTTGTCTTATTCAGCGATTGTGATTATTGGACCACTGTGATTCACAGCCAACAAAAAAAATCCATTTGAAATTTATTGAATGCAACTTGCACAATCCCCATCAGGCTATGCAACGACTGTAAATCTGACTGATATTGACTCTCCTTCTGGACCCCAGCTGGGCACAACGCCTAGATGGGTCCCGAGTGCACAGCTGTTCAAGGTTGTGGATATCAATGTCACTTTACAGTGTGTTGGTCAATATCACCGAGTACACTTTATATTGCATCAGAGAAATGGTAATTCCTCCACCACTTGGGCCGTATTTTTTCCCTTCCAGTTTACCACCATAAGGAGGTATTTTGTCTTTGCATATACCGGGCCGCAATGGGGACGTCTGAGAAGGGACTGTCTTGAAAAGTAGAGGTCAAAGTTTTCAACTTGTCAGTCCTTTCACTTTTTCAGCGGCAGTTACGGTGGGAGTCCTGACAGTAAATCAATGCTCGGCCGATCATGCTTCTGGACGTCCCAGAACAGACGGGGGTTAATAACAGACACAATAAAAGCTAAAAAGGTTGGTAGGCCTACATCCAAACTTCCAAGATGTTTTCCACTTCTCAGTCATGTCAAAAATAATAGAATGCCTAGGTGGAGAAATAAATGCTGAAATTCAACATGATAAAGATGTCAAGCTAAATAAACACACTATCATAGTAATACATTCTTTACGTGATAATGAACATCATTACATGTGAATGTATAAACTTGTCAAGGCTGTGGCAATCGTGAGCAGGTTATCCCTCTAGGCATAATATTACGTAATACAACGTGTGGTACTTACCTGTGCTTGGACAAACTCGTTCCTCTCCACATCGAAGTCAGGCACCAGACTAATCCGGGAGATGTGACGTGCAAACATTCCCCGCTGCAGACTTGCCGTCATAAAAATGATGGAGGCCAGACAAACGGCGAACATTACAGTTGACCTTTTGGCCCGGCTCAAGATGCGGAACCGCATGGCGGAACACCGACTACCGCTCTCTCACAGTTCGGTCGAACAATGCAAAGCGCGTATGCTCCACGATTGGTTAACTTCGAAGTGGTACCTGAACCTTCATGATCGGGTGTTGTGCAGTTCCATGTGTCCTTGCCCTTTGCTCATACATGTACATGTACATGTGCGATAATGTACATGTACAACGTGCACGTGAATTAAGCACAGAATAAGAAGCTAAACATCAGACGAGAATGGATTACTCGAAACTTTGCCCACGAAGTAAAACCAATCAAGCAAAGTTGCGATAACGAGATATGTTGTGAGCAGTATTTAAAGTGAAGCAAATCACGGTTCAAGTTGAACATACGTGTACATGTATTTCCTTCATCGCGAATCATGGATTCGCACGATAAAATCACAGAAAAAATGTCACATGATGTCGGACCCCATGAAACTCAACATCATAAAAGTATTTCCTTTTCTGACAGGTTCACTGCAGAAATTACCAGGAAACGATGATGATCATGAAACGGTGTCGAGCGATATCACCCAGAGTGCGGCTGGCACGGATATCCTTCGAGGAAATGGCCTCCTGACCTAAATGGAATATGCATTATTGACCCAGGAATTTGGCAAGTACATAATTAAGATAGCATGGCTCACGAATCACGAGACAACAACCTCAACCGTGTTGCTGACTTGCACTATCCTCGCGCTTGGTCCGTGCATGGAAGTTCTCAAACTCTGGTTTTAAGTTGTCAGAGAATTGACCACCACGCTGCACGGAGCCGCGGAGCTGACAAAGCACGTCTCGGGGAACCAACCGGGAAGAAGGGGAGGCTGGCATACGAAAACAATGTCTCGTGTGGTAGCTACTTTCCCAGCATGGAGCCCGGTTGTGGTTCCTTCGTCATCTCGAAATACCTCGCAGATGACAGCGGGCGTAAGTGTTCGGTTGGCAGACTATTGCTCAATAACTGCGACTCGACGACAATGTGGCAAACTGTTGTACTTTCGCCGAAATCTTGGCAGCACATGGGCCAACCTCTAGGCAAACCGCCTCACAGTTTCGCAATGACCTTATACGTCGTGGCGACGATCCTGGGTTGTGAACGACGAGACAGCTGGCACGCACTTGTTGCTAGCTGCAAGACGCGATCTGCGCCGCGACTGGGGCAAAGTCAAAGGTTGACCCAGTGCAAGGTCTCAATCGACTTCACAGGTTTCAGAAGTACAGGTTGAAGTGATCGCACATAGAATTGGGCTAGCGGTTGGTTTAGTCTTGGAACATGGAGGTAGAAAAAGAGCCAAGATCTAAGGATTACATGTTGTACATGTACATGAGTGAGACCTGCCCATTTCGTGCTCAAAGATCGCTGGAGGAACTTTGGAGAAACGGCAATACACTAAATTGGACTAAACAATCAGGATATTAATCATACGTATTGAAGTTGAACAATAGCAACCTTTATCTTTTGATCGAATTCTTTTTGGGGAAGTCTTGCATACTAAATAAAAGAACACTGCAGGGACGAGGAAAGTTCTTGGTAAACGGTACGATGTCATGACCCTACATCCTTCAAATCCTTCCTGTCTTTTTGTCGGTGCCAACATCGCATGGAATTCTCATCCTTCCTCCATGGTTTAACATCGTTACTAATTCTCTGCAAATTCGTGATACGAATATGCAGAAAAAAACATTCACCAAGGACACTGACTTAGCCGTGGTTTTCGGCTTGTTGGAAGACAGCCTGTTCGGGTGAAAGGTCGGTGTGACATCTTAGACATGAACAGCTTGTGTCTCTGAAACATCTGAACATGTCTAACTGGAAAAAAAATACTAATCGCATGTCAACCACGCATCGTGTCAAAGTTCATCCGTGGCCACCATGAATCAATTTTTTATTTGTTTGTCCAATCAAACACAGTCATAGCATTCATTGTCTAACAGTTTTGCTTCCATCATGTAGTAACGGTGGTCAGGACTTCAACTTACAATAAACATCCTGATGCAATGGGTTCCACTCGTGAGAACTTGCAACTGTTGTGTAACCTCCCTTTTTATAGCTCCATGGTATGACATGGCCTATTAGCCAAATCGTAAAACTTCCTATCCCAACGAGTACGCGAGTTTGGATCCCCCGTCAGTGCAAGATCACAAACCGTCCCCGGCCTTGGCAGAAACACGGAACAGCTGCAAATGTTGCCTTTTTCAGTGCGACAAGGTATCAAATTTCTCAACTTTGCTGACGACGAGGTTCTTCCTGTTCCCGCATTTCCAATTCGATGAAACATTCAACACCTGTTGATCAATGTTCAACATGGCATATGCAAATCTCAATGTGCACACAGGCCGAGGAACACCAAATGGCCTTCGTCGTTACTAACATTTCCACAAAGATAGCCTGGAAACAAACTCAAGGCTGACTGGCACGGCTAAGGGATCTTTTATCATACTACACGGTGGACGAATACTGGTTTCCAAGGTCCGACAATGGCATGGTCAGCAGGTGCAGTAGGCGCTTCCTGTAATTACTTCTGTTTATTCATTTGGGTAATACTATACTTGTAGAAAAACAACGTAAATCAACCCAATGGTCCTCCGTTCACGGACACCACGCAAGTAGAAATAGTTCAAAAATGAGTTTTAGTACGGAAAGAAAAAAAACTTTTCAAATACCGAAGCAAAACAAACTTTTGGAGTTACAAAACAACAACAAAAGCCCCACCAGAACAGGCGAATATCAAGACCATTAAACTCAAAGGAATAGCACAGACAAATGAAATATTTAATACGAGAAAGAAAATTGATGAGTCAATCACTTCCATTTCTTGACAAGGGTGAAAAGTTCAAATTTATCATGAATATCAGAACTTGTCGATAGTAATAAAAAAATCTCTTCACTATTCACTTCACTATTTGAAACAATCACATTCAATCTGATAAATGGAATGTCTAGAGTTCACACTGAGGTCGGTCTCTAACTGCGCAACACCCGAATGACGGAGCGGTTGAAGCACGTGACACTGAGGGGTTTTGCTTCTGCAACAAGGCAAAATTTGATTTCTTCCAGCAACATGTCAATGATTTATGATGGTCGGACGACACGGTTTTCGGAGGGGGTAGGGTTGTGGAATCTACTTCTGGGACTCTGTGCGGTCTTTTTCTGTCAGGTGCCCGCAATAAATGACTCGGATACTGGAACGACCTACAGGTTACGGGCGGCGGAGGCGAGCCCAAGAAAGCCCAGATGGACTGACACCGACAGAGCGCCCTCAACAGAGTTTGTAAATACATCATGATGTCTTTAGTCAACAACGTTCGACTTTTTTTCTCCAGAAAACAAACCTGAAAATCCTGAAGTCAATAACACACGTCAGTATATTGCAGAAAAGTAGTAAGTGGACAAGCAATATCATAGACTAACGATCAATGGATTGCGTACGAGCAGCACTTTCAATGGGAAGAAAAGAATGTCAATTGCATTGACCTTTTTTCAAATTTGTGGTATTTTAATAGCAAGAAAGAAAACCTATTATAAACAAGCCTTGATTTGAAGTTCATATATAACACACTGTAGTATAAAAGCCAACTCAACAAAGGGACTATTTCTCTCGTCCAAGTCAGATCGTGCATGATAACATCGCGCAAAGGCTAACGAGTTCGCCTTTTTTCAGACTGGCAACATTCTGACAACAGAGGGCTCATCACAACATCCTCCCGGTACTTTAACGCCCTAACCTCGTTGAGTTCCTAACCTGGCTGTTGCTCTATGGTGTCCTAACCTGGTCACACAAATACATGAACTGTAAATAAGAAATTTTACAGCTTTTTCAACAACTTGGAAAAAGCCCTATTTGATTTGATCCAGCAAACTGAAAAAACAGGAAAATCTACTACAGTGTCACCAAGGACTTCAAAAATTCCAGCATCTTCGGAACAATCTTACGATACATCAAGCTAATAGTAACAATAGCAGCCATGCAAACAGGTGCAAATACACTTGGGGTCAGCCCAGTGTAACTGAACTTGTTCAGGGACTGACATCAGTTGCTTCCATTTTCTGGATTATCTCCAAAGATTCACTCTTCTTCAGTTCGGCGTCAAAAAGTCTCTTCCAACCGGCCAGTTTTTCTCGGCCAGCAAACATTCCCTTCACTGAATGTCCATGTCCTCCTCTTGTTGTTGTGCCTTAAAATTCTGAACACTGATCTGAAAGAGTTAAAAGATAAAACAGGAAACGCAATCATGTCGAGTCTTGGGGGGGGGGGAATTCGGTGAGTAGCCTGTGCACAGTAATTCTTTTAGTCAAAATATAAAAAGCACCTCAAACGTTTCTAAGACGTGCTCCGACAGTGCCGTTAAATCAGACAGGCCTTTCTTGAAGACGTCGACTGCGGGTGAACCTGAGGAATTGAAAAAAATGGTAGAGATCATTTAAAGGGGCGTGTCCAACATGCTTACAAGGGAGAAATATAAACATCTGTCCATTCTGAATTGGCATCATGCTAAGCCCAAACAAAAATTACCAGTCTGTGTCTTTTTTGTTCTCCTTTTTCCTTTTTTTTTGGGGGGGGGCAAAGTAGACACATGTAGGTCTACTGCTCATGCTTCACAGCTAAATTTTTCTGCTGTCAACAGTGCAAAACAACTGTGGAAATCTCTAACTAAACAAGGGAGAAGTTTAGACCACCTTGATTCGGTTATTAACAAAAATTCAAGCCAGCCTACCTACCTTTTGTTTGAATTCTGAGATTCACTTTATTCTCAGATGGGTGGGGTATGCTGTAGCCGCAAAACTCAACATCCGGGCTGAATGAGGATATAAAGTGTACACGAATTAAATACAAACTCGGGAAATTGTTAAAATCCAACAGACGATCATCTCAGGACATGGCTGGGCAACAGAGAAGTGCCAGACAAGCCATGTTGGGGATTTGGAAAGGGGGAGATGTTGCATATAGAATTACACAAAACAAAAATGTGGAAAGCAGTGGACAGTTTCCAAAAGACCTCAATCCTTTGGATAATATTTGATCAAAGGGAATATGGACCTGTGCCTCAGTGAGATTGTGAGAGGGGCCACGGAAATCTTTCAAAAGAAAAAATTCCATACACAAGTACCGGCATTTATTATTACATTCTTCCCTGTAGCCACCTATTAGCCATGCGAAAGCAGTAAAATGTCCCCAAAAAGTCAATGTGAGCAGAGAAAATGTTGAGGTATTCCCTTAAAAACACTTTGAATTTTTCAGACCAAGTCTCAATTCTCAAAGGGTTTGTGCACAGGATGGCAAGCAGCGTCCACCAATGGAATTCTCTCCCTTTCAAACACATAGCAATGGACCCTCCGCACATCCTTATTAACACAGGCTAATGCACAGAACACTAACAGCAAGATCATGCATTTGAGACTTTTCGTTCTTTAAGCTTTTGTCAAACTCGGGCTTAAAATAATCAATGGGAAACACATCACTGCAGTTGCGCCAAATTCTTGACGTGAGGTATGCATTTAGCGAGTGCAGAACGAAGGAAGGGGCTGTGTGACCTGCGAACGAGTACTGGTACCAATGCAGTTAGAGTTTCCCAAGTTCACATTCCAGCCGCTGTAGGGTACTCACTTCTTCATGATCATGTACCGGAGGGCGTTGCCCAGGGTGTGGTCCTCGTTGTGGAGAACAAAGGTTAGGCAGGTGTTGTCCCCCGTTAGCTCAGTGCCTGCCATTTGAATCTGCGAGGAAAAATTACGGTGAGTACAATAGTGGTGTGGACATGTAATTCTATGCTACATATGTATGTGTATTCAAAGCCGGTGTGACATGTGAGAGAATTCTGCCTGTAAAAAGTATATCATAGGCCTAACTTATTGTTTAGCAGTTTTTCAGCAGAGGCAAATAAAAAATTGAAAAGGTAGCCTAGCCCTAACCACTCTGAATCCAACAAGCATAATGGTCCCTTTTGGGTTATGGTTGAGGCCCATACTTCACTATTCACGGATACGGCACGGTGGGCCTTAGCCCCACTACTAGTGTGGCACGGATAACTCCCGATTTATCCTTATAAATCGGGAGTGATCTGTGCCACACTAGTGGGGCTAGGTGGGCCTAATCACGTAGTGCATAAACCACGCCAAGTGTTCTTACCACGCTCAGTCGACCAGGCTTCTCTTTGTCGTCCGCCATTATTTCCGTTCACAAGGTTAAATCACGAAATTTTCCTCGATCATAGTTTTCACGACATCACGTGTACAACAATATTCCGTTCAGTAAGCGTGCCATATCATACCAGCGCCATCATATACCGATACACGTGCACCGAAACCACACTCAGTACTGCAATCAATTTAACGGCCCACATGTCTTGGGAACTTCCATGCACATGTAGATGGTTGAGCGTTTTATTCTGTCAAAACACGCAACAGCCGTTGGCGTTTCCGAGAGGTCAAAGTTGACGCAAATAATTTCATAATTCGTTGTCCTTTTCAGCACGATTTGCACGCGCCAGCTCGTAGAACTCGCTGCTGTGCCATAGACTTCATTTGCAGTTTTTGAAGAGTGATACATGGTAAAAATCATGATTCCTTAGGTACTGAAAACTAAATTGGATTGAAAGGTAAGACTTGATTACGATTAAAGGATCCAGTTGCTCTGTCTCACAAGCGATCGCGTTGACGCTTGTTGATGCTGTCTAAATAGCATGACCCTAACCAAGGCCTATTCAACAGGGTGGATGGGCCTGCCTGGGCATGAAGGCGATATACATGTATATGAATATGGAAAGAATTCCATGTAGATAGCGACAGACGTCACTGATTTTTGTCTTTGCACGTGACAGTCATACATGCCCAAAAATCAAATTTAGCAGTAAAAAAGTTGAGGTAATAATCACTTAACACTTTGAATTTTGTACACAGTGGCATCCTGTATGGAGTTCTTTCCATGAAATGTTGTTGATCTTGTTTGAAAGCATGACCATGTTACCAATATATTTTCCCAGTCCAGGCAAGGTTTTGAACATACAAGGTGGGATGTTGGCCAAAGCAAGTAAATTAGATGTGGTCTGGCGAAAACTGCTGCTGACGAAGTTCTTCACAAAAGGATGGGGATCAGTGGACAACTTAAAAAGGTACCATGCAGTTATCAGCAGTAAAAGATGTCATATGGAAGCTGTGATGTTTGGAAATAAATGAATCCGGACACATTATCGGTTTCTGCCAGAAATCTCCTCATAACATTTGGCCAGTTTTATTTTGCAACAAGGAAAGTTATTGAATTTTTGTTATTGAAGTTGGCACAATGCTTAAAACTACAGATTGTTAATTTTCAGTGATATGATTTGCTTACAGATACATGTAAATGTATAGCCTATACACTTAATATAGGCCTGAGAATGTGATTTCCATGTGATGAGCATTTTCTGTGGAAGTTAATCGCAATGTATACGAAATTTAGCTCTCTATATACAATTCATAGGTACACCAACGCCGTGTGCAGATAAATATAGTAGTCATGACCCAGGGATATGTGACATTGACATGGTGAAAATTGTTTTGATTTTATCTTTTTCTTAGGATGTGTAAGTTTGGCCAAGTGATTTCTGATCGTTCACGCTGCAAACTCCTTGTGGACAAGACCTACCCAGTCTTCATTGACAAAGTATGGAATCGCATTTTATGTTGAGGGATTGACTGTAAACGTTGATAGCAGAGATGATCTTGTACAGCTGTTTTTGTTTGTGTTTTTTCCTTAGTTAAGGCGTGAGAGCTGAGTGGAATGGGCAGTTATCTGTGTTGTGTTAATAGTCCAGAGGAGATTACAGGGAACTGATTGTTTACAGAGTTCAGAGAAATTTCTTAGTTCTGTGATCAACTAAACACTTTAGAAACATTTCAAATTCTGAAGGTTTTGCAAGGTTTTTTATATCCCTGTCTTGTCTGGTACCACACATTCCTAATTCCAAATCATCCACATTTATGGAGCTCTTTTTGTTGTGAGATATTTTCGTGTTGAGCCATTTCTTTGCAGGATCATATGTTTGAAGGCTTGTTTCATTTCATTGATTTACTGTAGATGTTTTTTTTACAGAATGAACAGAGGGGCGAGTGCAGAATCTTGGAGGGGCATTTCGTGTCTCCGTTTGCCAAGTACATAAAAGGGATTATGCCCAAAGAAGTTGAAACAGCCAGGTAATTACTTCAAGAATTTGACCCTAAGAGTGGTTGGAAAGTGTAGCTTAATTGTAGGTAGCTTACGTCACCAAAAAAGAGAACAATTTGTAAGCCAGAGACTGGTAGAGTGCACCCCTAATGAAACAAGTTGATTCTTTTGAGACAGAACTTTGCTTTCTGGACTTTTTGTTAATTTTGTATTAAACAGGTTTCCCTTGAATGTTGGGAGCAATTTTTAAACAAATGATTGTAAAGGAAAGAGAACAGTTAGTGAGCCAAGATGTTGACTGCATACATGTGACACTTCTATTTAACTTTAGGTTTCAGGTTATTTTACCGTCGACATGGAAATCTGAAAGAAAGCCAATATGCATCCACCTGGCTGGCACAGGGGACCATGTGAGTACATGTTCATATGCCAATCCTCAGCGTGATCTGACTAGTGAGCCAGGTTGATTTTTATGAAGGAAATCAGTGCATCGATGGATTTGTTGCTGTGTTTGCATACTTTGAGAAGATGATGCTCGCTTTTAACTGTCGGACTGCATTTGACTTTGTATCTATTCTTCTGTTATGAAGGGCTTTTGGAGGCGGAGAACCATCATGGCCAGGCCCCTGCTGAAGGAGCACGGCATTGCATCTATAATCCTGGAGAATCCGTTCTATGGACTGCGGAAACCCAAAGAGCAAAGGTTAGTCTGTCTATGATTTAAACCAAATTATTGATGGATTTTAGATGAGAGCCTAAGAGAACAACACTACTTTCATCCGTATTAACATTTGTGTGAGTCTCAGAAGATACACGTACCTGTTTCAAATAAAACACTCATATAAACAATGCTTGTCATTTAGTTTTCAGCTGTCTGCTTGTGTACAAAGAAGCAATGAGTTATTGGCCATACCTGTTTAAAAGATACTGGTGATTTTTGAATTGCTCTTATTGTAACAGCCGTTCCAGCCTTCTTAATGTAAGTGACCTTTTTGTGATGGGAGGTGCACTGGTTCTGGAGACGCTGACACTCTTGCACTGGTGTGAGAAGGAAGGGTATGGCCCGCTTGGTGTCTCAGGAATATCCATGGGCGGCCATGTAAGATTTTGAAGCTGCTTTTTCATTTGTTGGTGTTCCAGTTTTGGTCTTTTGAATCGTCTTGATGCATTCCTCTTGCATGTGTGAAATTGGGACCAAAATGCACAAATTAAAGTTAACCACTCCAATGGTGAAAACTTGCAGTATTATATTTTTGTTGTGGGTTTATGAATCGCAAAATGACCAGAATCGCAGTGCCCTGTAGTGTACTGTGACTACCAATTTTGACTGTTACAATAGTTGCCCCCACAAGTAACTTTTGCATAGGGTTTATAATAATGCTTGTTTGTACAGTACAAAACACATTTAAATGTATTACATAAGTGTCATTGAGGACGTCTTTCTCTATAACTTTGAAGTTTGTTGGCTTGTGTGTACATGTACATTACTTTCAAGGTAAAACTCAAATATTGATCTTGATTTACTTCATGATTTTCCCCAAAGACTCTCTGTTTAAATTGTGATATTTGTACACTACACCATATGCATACCATGGAAACCGACAACTTTTCATGACAACTGGAGAGTTTATCCATGTTTAAATTCACAGAATGTTCCTTTAAATTTAATATGCAACTGTCATGCATGTGTCTAAAAGGATAGTTGAACATTGAATATGCAAATACATGTACTGTTATCTGTATTTGCGGATTATTTCTCAGGCCAAATAAGCTCAACCGTTTGTATTGGCTCTGCATTAGAAGGATGTCAAAACAGTTGTGGTCAAAAGGTTGTTGGTGGGTTAACAGCCCTTTAACAGAAAAAGAAGTACTAGTACATGTAGATACCAAACTGATAAAATTTAGAGAGAACGTACGTACGATGCTAACATCCATTCACAAAATTGGCAATTTACAACACAAACTTTTTACAAATCTACAGATCTAAAATATTCCTACATAAAACAATGAGAAGTGATTTACCTTGCCCCGTTCCTCTCTGCTGCTGAATGATATGATTCACACTATCTTCCAAAGATCTTCCATGTGTGCATGCTCACACTCTTCATGAAATGTCACCCTCTGTGAAAGTTAACCCTGACCCTGCCAGATTCTTCAAAATCAATCTGGGATATTCAAGAGGCTTGTTCAAGATTTTAAAATGTAGGAAGTCGAAACTTGGCTGCTATTATTTTACATGAAGCTGATGGCCCCGGAAAGGTAAAGTACCAAATATGTCCCACTGTCCTGCACAGTGGTTGATTTTGAAGGGTTTCAGAAGATCTCTCACAAACATAGTAAAGGCACATGCAGTACCATGATTCATTCGCTTGTGACTCTGGCCATTCTCTTATCTCACAGATGGCTACTCTTGCGGTCACCAACTGGCACAAACCCATTGCCCTTATCCCTTGCCTTTCCTGGAGTAATGCCACACCAACATTCACCCAGGGGGTAATGAGCGGTTCCATCCCGTGGGAGACCCTGGCCTCTGAGTACGTCTTCCACTCGGAATATGAAGCAGAGATCCTCAGGAAACTCATGAAGTGCCCCCAGGTAAGTCAAATTGTTCAGAGTGAACATCTTCATCTTGTTACTGATCTGCATTTAGTGCATTTACCAACTTTGGTTTTCATAAATAGCAAATGTTTTCTTGTGAGAAATCTTTCTGATTTGTTTTATTTAGTATGATGCCTACAGACTTGGTCAAGAGTTTGCGGCCAATTTTCCAGAGAGTATGGAAGAACTTCAAAGCGTCACACTGAAGTCTGGAGTGAGGTGTTCATGTCAAAACCAACGGAAGCCTGACCAAAAAACAACAGCAAGTGCTTCTCAAGATGGACAAGGATATGTAATCACCTCACCAGACGATATGGGTAATGTTGAACCCAACCAGCAATCTTCACAGTGCAATGTGGCCAGCAAAGTCGAATCAGTTCCAAGAGATAAAGACCAATACCAAAGTAGCAGTATTCCTAAAACCGAAAAGGATGTACCATCATCCAGAGACATCTGTCAGAAGTGTTCCCAGATGGCAAATACCAATGGTGCCTCAGATACAGACTACCAGTGCATGCGTACACAGAATAGGTCAAGAGATGGCACCGAGAGTTCAGTGGGAAGCTTCTCAGATGGTTCCTTTCAATCTGATTCAGATGGTGATTCTTCCAAAACGAACACTTGCAGACAGAATGCCAGTCAACCTCCGTCAGATAGTGCATCAAGTTTGGATTCGGTAGAGGGAACTGACAATAGAAAACGGGAGGTAAACGAACAAGTTGATGGGACAGTTTCTAGCACCAGAGTAGGTGATCCCAAGGTAGAGTTAAAAGCTGGTGATAAGGTGAAAGGGACAAGGAAACAGTCCAAACAGGAGAATGAGGCTTTGCGGAATGAGGCGCTGCAGTTTATGAAGGGGGTCATGGATGCGGCCACATTTGTTGGGAACTTTTCCAAGCCGGTAGATCCGGAGCTCGTCTTGACAGTCTTGGCTAATCAAGATGCTTACATTCCTTGGTATCAGATGCCGAGCTTGAAGGAGTTGTGGCCAGGGATGGAGGTACGTTGGATAAATGATGCCTCTGGGAAATATATGTTTGTTTTGAAATTTACTCAGCCAGTTGTGTTCCTGATCTAAGACCACATTTGAGGGTGTCTTGTAAGAATGGTCAGTGTCCTTGACTTATCCTTACATCAGAGCAGTGTTGAGTATGGGTCTTGAACTTGGGATGAATGAGTACCAAATCTGATCCTGAACAGCACTTTTGAATCTGTGCAACACCATTCCAGCCTCTTAAAACAACTACAGATCTTAACAGTAGTTATTTCAAAAGGTTGTTTCAGAAATTATGACAAGTATTTTTGAATCCTCTTATTTTGCCACCTCTGCCATGTGTACATATCTCAATAGTACATTTCTGTGTTGCGTTGCAGGTACGATACGTGAACTCAGGTCATGTTGCTGCAATTCTTTTCAAGCAGCATCACTTCAGGTGAGTATTTACATTTCAATTCCTTGGTTCAGGTACATTTACCCTCCTGTAAGTTTCTACAGGAAATCACAAACTCTAGAGCAAATAGAACTACAGTCTTCACCATGTTTGCATTGAAGCTCACCTCATCTGAAGATACTTCCTTGTCTTTCCCATTACTTGTGCCTAGGCGGGCCATCCGTGATGCCTTTCAGAAGATGGAGAAGAAATACCGTGGAGTCCTCCCCGAAGAATCGTGATGCCAGTTGTGACAAGCTACAGCCCTGTAAACTGATAATCAATAAGTGTTGTTGATTGTTTGTGTGTGTGTGCTTATACCCATTTGCTTTGATTGAATTAAATGTTAAGTTTTTGAATGACAATGCAAAATTGTATGCACTCTGCTTGATTGAATTTATGACAACTGTCCAGTTTGCATTACATGTAGGACTTGTTTTATCAGGTGTACTTTGGCAAGCCTACATTGACACTGGTTGCTGTAATGTAGCACAGATGTTTTTTACTTAAACATTCGGGACCTCTAAGTAATAAGAAATTAAATGGAATGGTAGTGAATTGTTTCTGTCATGTGTATTACCTGTGTCAGAATGTATTGGGTATACATTCTTGTAAAATGACCACTCACTACATGTAAAAGTATCAGCTGAGGTTTTGAAATGCCACGATATTCAAAATATTTCCTTCCTCAGTTATTCATGCAATATTGTTTCTTTAAAAATGCTCCAGTTTATTTCCTTCACGTGTTTCATTGCCAGGGTCAGAAAACAACAGTGTTTCATTGCACATTGTATTTCAGAGGATTCTCAAAGATTCACTGCAGATTTTTTAATGAAATTAGACTAACATTGAATTGGAGGACTGGGGGCGTGAACACAGCGATGCACATTGTTGACTCTCTTACGTTATGGATGATATCTGATGATGCTAACTTTGCAGAAATGTGTTGGGGATTGTGAGGGTAATCCTCTTGGAGAATGAACCCGTTTGTGGAAGAAAAGTATCTTGTCCTTGCACTACTGACCATTCATTAGCCGTCGGCTCTAGATCCATTGGCTTTAGATCATTTGCCATAAATAGTACAAAAGGCAGGAAATTCCAAATACAGTAACAGATATGGCTTTTGATACTTACCAGTTGGGTATTTCACTCTATTAAAGATATTGACAGGCAGACAGAACGTAATCAGCCCAATGTGATTGGAAATGTGACCACAGATGCACTACAGATTGTTAAAAGTTCAACACACTGCAATTCTGTTAGGTGTAAACATTATGCTTGGCCATTGAGTTTGTTGCCTACGGCAAGTATCCAAACAGTCATTTTTCTCAGAACAAGCAGCACAGAAGGAAAAACTTACAACTTGTCACTTTATCAAGATTAAAATCATAAGAACTGTATCAAACAAATTAGTGAATTGGTAGGGAAAGGGTTAATAGAGAAATACTTGGTAAACTGATTTATTTTGAGAAGGGGGCGAGATGCTAAATTCTCAGAGATAATTACATTTGGAGATTAGAAGAAATTTTTTTGTATTTTCCTGATCTGTTAATCCTCAGAACCTGAACTGAGTCAAAGTTGATTTATTAATGAAGGATAAAATGGGCATTTAAAATTTCATGTAGTTGATTTTTCTTTACATGCTTTTATGGTTATAGTAATTGTTATCAGAGATTTTTGTCGTAAAAGACTTTTTATTGTTAAGACGTTGCCCTCAAAAATATCCAAACGAATTCGCTGGTTGGCATTTTTAATGGCAAAAAAGAGAACAGTTATTTAGATAAAGGAATTTCAAATGGGAGAAAAGCTTGCCAAGATGCCTATTGAAGTTTAAAATGTTTTTTTCATGGAAACAAAACAGAGAAAAGTATTCAAAATCCATATGTTCTGAGTGCCAGTTGATACTCATAAAATCAAGACTACAACATAAGTGTATTTTCAGGACACATTACTGTTAAGGTATGCATTTAGATAGCTTTGTGTTTAATCAAATCCAAATTTTGTTAAGCAAAAAATGCTGCTTGAAATTTGTTTAGTAACAAATCAAATGTATTGAAATCAACTGAAAGGTTCAACGACAAAACAGCATTATGTATATAAATATTAGTAACATTTTTGTTGAGGTTTGTTTATGTTTGGAATGCCTTTAAAACGGCATCAGTATTTGCCTTAATTTGGTTAAATACAGACTCGGAAGGACAAAGGGAGGTTGACTTAAATATGAAGAATATCTTCATAAATACCTGCACGAGAGAATGATTGGGAATTAAAAATGATTTTGAATGATCTTTACACGTGCATTTTAAAACAGTGTTTGGAGTCCCATTTTCTTGGAAAGTCTTATGGGGAGCCATAGATATGTTGAAGAGTGGACGTGTATATCCACTGAAAAGACATGATTTATGTTAGTGTTTTCAAGGAAAATGTGTAAAAGGCATTTGTTGGCCTTTAAAGTAATATTAGGTGTCGCCAAAATTAGGGAGCCCACTGCACAAATTTCAAACAGGTGCACAGGCTGATATAGCCTGACTTAAAAGATGGCACTGTGTTTACAGTTAAATAATTGTAAGATGGATGAGTAAGAATGGCTTAATGCACTCTCTGAGCTCAGTTGGTTCAGATTCGTTCCCATTGGTCCGGTTAATGTCGATTGCTTAGACCTAATTAAAAATTCTGTTCCAAAAGGTGCACCATATAATACAAGTGTACAAATCTTTGAAAATATTCCACAAAGGAAACAGATTCATATGTCTTCAAAGTTGCTTTGATCAAGATATAAATCTTAAGTGAATTCACTGTAGCCATACTCAGGTATACATGTACATGCTGCCACATTTAAGAGTTCAATGTACGGCCGTCATTTGACACCTGTGCACAAACGATGTGAGACTGGTCGTTAAAAAAGTGCTTGCTGAGAATGTTTCAATTTTTGCCTGATAAATTTGACTAATATTCACTGATGGCGAAAATTGCTGATATCGTGAATGGAACTATTATCCAACAGTTCAACATACCGCCATTTCAGCTGTTCTGCCGTGATTGAGATGCCAACGGCGCGAAAATCAAATTTATGTACATGCAGTCGTAAAACTTGAACTGTAAGGAACTAATTAAGAATCGAACGACTGAAATACACTTCAAAACAAAATATTTAAAGCATGACAATGAAAATCAGAAGATGTATCTTTTGGAGCCACAGTTGGGGATCTCATTGCAATTTATTTGAGGACATCTGCTATTGAGCAGACGACAGTCTAGCAAGAAATGTACGGCGCGATATGTACGGTGAGCCCATGACCTGTCACAGCTAGCCAGCCCTCCGTAGATATATGAGCTGACATTTCGACATTTCTGTGCACATGAAGTCTTATTGCTGACTCAAAAACCGCTAATTAAATATACAGATTAGCTGGAATTAAGAATTGAAAGAGGATGTGCCTACCTACGATTCTAACGATCAGCGATGGTGTGAAAATCTGTCCAATTTCCAGGCAGCATCCATATCCATTACCGTCTATATTCCATAATCTCGGGCGAGGTCGATTTGTGAGTCACTGAAGATAAACGGTGTACAGAGAATTGCTGCGGAAATAGAATTAAAGATAACCGTTTGCAAATCTGAAGGCAGATAAAACTCAATCAGAATTCTGTCCAAGGATGGGCTACGACGGGGAAGGCTCTTAAGTATTGCGTACAGCTGCAGAGCAGACGAAAAGTGAAATCATTAGGCTTGGTCTCAAAAAATAAACGAGCCAATGAAAGTAAACAATGAAGAGCGCCACCTACCTGAGACGATGAAAGTCGTATCTAATCAAACATTTTAATCAGTTTTCATTCTCTGCCTTAATAACTTCGCCTTTCTGAAGGCAAACAAAAAAGAACAGACTTGTGTGTCTTCATGAAGGCAGTATAAAATAACTGCACGTTGGAAAATTTAAAATGAAACCGCCATAGTCAAATTCTGACTGGATGTTGCCGTGGTATTCAGAAGCAAAATTGGTCACACAAAATTTTGGGGTATCAGGTCCATCCTCTAAATCAATTCTGGCAAACTGTCATTAATTGAACAAAGCTGTGAAACAAATATATATGTAACTGTGTACAACCGATAATTCTAAATGTAGTTAAAGGAAGATTTCTTAGGCATGACTATAAATCAACGTGTAACTTCCTTTCTTATTCCCTTTGAATGTCATGGCAAATTAAATTCAGTTTATTAATAAGGATGATTCTCAACTCATTTTAACAGAAATGGGGCCAACATTTTGTGAGTCAATTTCACAGATATACTGGCAATATTTCCTAACCACTGAAAACTATGGAGATATGCACCAGGACTCTGAAAAAAGACAAACTTAAATAAGGTTTTAATTATGGTATTTTGATACCAAATTTATTGACAAATTATGCTCATCACTTCCCTTTCTGGAACAGGCTATTATAGGAGAAAACAAATACAGAAACTATTGGCGGCCGAAAAGAAACTCTTACAAAAATGGAATAGTTACTCACTGGAATCCTCTCCAGATCAAACCTCCCAACAACAGAATAGGGCACGTGGGTTTCCATAATTTGGAAGAACATAGTTTATAACTACATATCAATGTTCTCGCTTCACCGGTAATGCTGTTCCCAGATTTTTCACCAAAAACTAAATTTCAATGATCTGCTAGCAGTCAGATTATTTACGAAAGACATTAGCATAGAATCCTTGGTTGAGGGACATCTGCATGCGCATAAACCCAAACTCTTTGCTAACCTGCCAAACCTGCAGAAGTTTCTGCTGAGTAGAAATTCTTGGCTTACAGTAAAAGGAGCCATGACATGTGTCCGGGGCCCAATTTCATGGCGCGGCTTACCGCTATTTTTGTGCTAACCACAGAACAAAAATTTTCTCAATGGTAAGTGTATTTCATGGAAAATACTTCAGGGTTGCAAGTGCTTAGCAAAAAAACTGTGTGTATGCATGTGAAAATTAAATTCAGCGAAATTTGCTTCCGAGGTAAGCATGCCTTTTGTTGTGCTTAAAGTGTTGTGCTTAAAGTCTCTATGGAATAAAAAGAGCCTCTGTAGACATAAAATCATGTGCTTCACAGTGCCATGAATTCGAGCCCTGATTAGTAGAGCTCTGCAGTTCAAAACTCATCCATGAGGTCATTGAAACACAGTTCCTTGGTAAGGATTTGCAACCAGTCTAACTAATGGAGGCACCTCCATAATAAGAGATGTCTGTTCCCCCTTGTCAGAATGTGATCCAAGTCCATGATTTTGTAAACAATCTTGGAAAGCAAGGTCCCCGATCAGGCTGTAAACCCTGGTTTTTTTTTTCTTTAAGTAAAATGTGGATGGTATTATCTTTCTTTCTGATGTTTAAAAGCCTCTGCCAGAATCTGAATCTGGACCATGATCTGACAAGTCAAAATGTCAGCGGGCACCCTCCTGGGATTGGAGTCCAACCCAGTTCTGGCTTGAGTTACATCCGGCTGACCGGGTCTATCCCAAGAATGTAGAATCCCTTGGCCATGACGGCTGCCGCAGCTTCACATAGAAGGATGCGACTCATGTTAACTTTAACAATTTCACCTTTGGGAAGAAAAACAAACAAACAAACTGGTTGAACTCCACAGACAAATAAAATTATGAGAAGAAAAGAAAATGTCAAAGCAAAATGGAATATTAAATTCTATGTTTATCAAATCAAACCTGTTTGTTTGGGTATCTGTCAGTTTACTGTTTCTAAGAATTGAACCATTTAAAAAAAAAAAAGAAGGTTCCCTTGTCAAGGCTTCAGAGGCTTAAGGCCACTTCGTGTTTTACGTGAATGTTGATCTGTTAAAAGTTTTGCGACATTGCAGCAAATATTACACTTAAAGTAGGAAATCACATTTAACACATTTCAACTCTGATGAGTTTTCCCATGAATGGATTGTGCACTTGAACTCATTAAGCATTAATGTTCAACACGAACCAGCTTTTGGATTTCATATCTATGACATAACATTTTATTGCTTTGAAGTAATTACAATTTGAAAACTGAATTTCCCACGTTTGGCAGATCGACCGAATCTCGTGGAGTAGCAGCGACAACCACAACTGATTTTTAGTTTTTATCTTGATTTGACATCCTTGGGTGATTTGAAGAAAAAAAACAATTAAACAAATCAACTAACAAATGTACACATTTTCAATAATTCCACACACCTGTTTTTCTGTCCTTCTCAACGCAGTAACAGGCATCGTAGAACTCGGTGAAGGTCGTGGTCAACTCATACAGGTACTCGCAGAGTGTGTGCATGAGCATGTCGTTGAGGATACGGGCGACGATCTCCGGAAAGCGCGACAGGCATTTGGCCAGCTTCCACTCCTTGGGGTGGGTCAAGTCGATGGGCGTGGTGGCTGCTGCTTGAAGCACCGCCGCATCGTCTACCTTGGCCAAGCGAGCAATGGACCTGGAAGACAAGTTGGCAGAGTTCCGTCTCAACAAAGTGACAAAAATTGTTCCTTGCAGTGTTTGATTCTTATTAGTTACAGAGGGTTGCGCTTAAACTGTGCAAGGGCATCTCTTTTGAGTTCTGAAAAGAACCGGAGGGTACTCAACGTTTCGGACAGTATACTCCGTCCGTCATCAGGAGACTATAGGGTTTCCGATCATGAAGCAGCTTATACAGTGTCTGGAGGCTGTGAGGTGTGGAGAGGATGCTAAGATACTTATTCTCAAGTGCATTTCGGCTAGTAGGTTAGCATCTCTTTGTCATTCACACTTTGAGGAGGATTCAGGCATCTTTTCCACAGTAACTTTTAAATGTTACTATGAAAATGTACAATCTGGAAACAGGCCTTGAATAATGCAGGTTTCTGATTTTTATAGTGAAGCCTCGATTGAACAGACAGTTAAATCTCTCTGGGGAAAAATATATGACCTTTGGAATGATTAACTGATACAGAGGAGCTGATGGTAAAAAATCTTGTGTCATCATCAATTAAAGACATGGGCAAATCAATAATATGTTCCCCCATCTACTTTTACAAAGAGACATTCTCAAACATCTCTTGGTATCAGTTTTCAAATCACAAGTCTACTGCAGTAGAGGTCCTCTTGAAATGACCAAATCTAAACTTTACTTCAATGCCATGTCTTTTTCCCCTTCATGAAACATGCACTGTCAATTCCAAAATCGAGACACAGAATTTCAAACGTGCACTCCAAAACGCAAGGACTGATCAAGGTTTGGGGGCTTACTTGATTCGGGTGTACGCATAGAGAAGATACACGGCCGTGTTCCCCTTGTCATCCAGCATCTGTGGAAATGAAACAATGTCATTTCATTTTTGCTGCACCATGCTTAACATGGCGTACCATTGAAAAGTTTTTCAATTTCCAATACCCTGCAAATTAATTTCTATGTTGAGTTGTGCGGTTCTCAGAAGAAGCGGTTGTTTCGATTCAAAATTAAAGATTAATTTCCACGGTGTTACCAGAAATGTTCCGTACTTTGTTTATTCCCACCCTGCAAACCTTCAAGTCTCATTTAGTTTTTCAAAGAGAGTTAATCTGGTATAATGAAATGCATCATTTTTTCTTTAAAATGTGAAGATAGTTTTAAAGTCAAAAACCAACTTTTGTTGCCATAAACGTGCCATTTCAATTTATGGTCCTTTGGGTCCTTTATATATCTGCAGTTGACTTTGATGGAAGTTACTTTTCTATATTATCTACTCTAAGTGTCTGTAGACAGTATCCTAAAAATGAAGAGAAAGTACAAAATAAACCGAAGGGTGAACTATCTGTATGAAACGCACTTCAAGGAAATGAAAAGATGGGAAGGAGGGAATGTAAAGGAAACAAATATGGATCTGTAATGCTTTAAAGCAAAACAAAAGAGGTTTCATTCCTCTTTTTTTAAACAAGCTCTATTTCTAGACACATTCAGTTAACTCCATATTATGCAGACTCCCAAAAGACTAATATTAACCACGTTTTGATTGGATATTTTTTCTTTTTATTCAGAACATCTTCAGTTAAAGGGGCATCCATTTTGTTTTGCCTAGCTTCTGTTAACTGTCCTACCTCCGGAATGAACATTATCATCAGATGCCAAATTAAAAGATTCCCCAAAACAAAGAACTTAAATTGCTCTGTCTGATCCAAATTCAACCAAATTAATGATATAAAGTTGGCCTTAAGACTCATTCTGTGGGATGCGATCATATTTCTTCCAAAATCAAGTACACCATTTATCAACAGTGATTTTTATAATAGCAGACACCTGTAATTAGACGCAGGGTAAAAACCTCATGACAATCACCAAACCTTACCTTGTCAAAGGAGAAGACGTAGTCATTAATGCGATTGTGACACAGATCGGCATACTTGACGCATCCATACGCCACTGACCTTTGAGCAGCTTCTAACTCCTCTGTCGTCAACACCTGTCAAATTCACAAACAAAATTAAGTCCTTTGTCATGAGAAATATCCCAATGAGCCAGTTCTATATTTTAACAGCACATGCTCAAAATGAAGCGCATCCCATACCTGCAGAAAACCAGCCAAAGCAACCATCAAAGTCCAAGCTGATGGTATTGTCAACGAACGAAGGAACGAACCAGGTCATTCAGGAACAGCAGTACATGCACCCAAGGTCTGCCCTGAGGTCAGCGCGGCCACACGCTGACTTGTAAGCGTGCTTTGCTCTTGAACGACCTTGCCTTTTTGAAATACTTAACTGGCTCACTGATATGGATGATACCCTCTTGAATATTGCTGTGGCAAATCCTGATAATCTGAGCCATCCAACTCCACACTAGCAATGGTTTACCTTGTCTCGTTCCTTCTCTTGCAGTTTGTCTAGTGATCGTTTCATCCCCTCATTTAGCAGATCGGCAAGACGCACAGTATCCCCCGAACGGGTCTTAAACTTCTTCCTGTGGGACGAATTGAAGGTGGACTTGAAGTGACAAAAATTTACATTTGTGGACAAAAACTTGAGGTCTCATCTGGGAGGGTTTATTTCATAATCGTCACTGACTCCAGTCTACAAAGCACTATATCAAGACCTAATTCCACAGCTCTGTTAGCCACTGAATTCTTTGCTTGCAATCAAATTCTATGCTGATAGTTCCAACACTCTTCTTTCATGAATTTCCAGAATTGAACTGATCTTGCACTTACTTATCTTCGCCTAAGACAACTCCAAACTTGATATGTTCGACCCGCACTCTGGCTGGGTCGTACCATCCTACCATGCGCCCACCAGCGTAGATATTCTCCAGATGTACGCTCTGTAAACCAGGACACGTTAAGTCAAAAGGTTTACTTTGGTGCTGTAAGTGCGGAATAGTTGCTTGCTGCTTCCAGTAAAAGGATTTTTGGCTCCACAATCCGTTTGTATAGGCTACGTGCCATTGGTCGATTAGCACGACTTGTCAATGGCACTGCACTATCGGTCAATCCTGAAAGAAATCTTAGACTTAATCCCCTTTATCAAAATTGGACTTCCATAACTGGGAATAAGAAGAATAACATGGGTACCGGCTGACGGCAAAAGGATTCACAGATCATGCTGGATTTGAGTGAACACATACATCAAGGGGAAAGACGGTCCCAAATTTGAGTTTTTCTTTTACCAGAGCAATTAGGGAAACACTTAGACTATTCCACAGGAAGCTAAGCAGAACGCAGCTTTCTCACAGGAGAAATGTATCAGTGACAGAACTTCAATTTCAATTCATACGTGTGAAAGCAAGTACCGGGTGACCTGTTCTCTGCTACTGAACCAAGTTTTTGACATTAGAGATCACCGGAGCATGAGCGCAGTGTCATTGTTACGCCCCAACATCCGTCCTGGCTACAGACCTTCTTCACCCACGTGACTGGATAGCGCTAAATGTTAACAATACCGCCACATGTGGACCGCCTTGGCCACGGTGATCGCATATATTTTTAAGGGCAGCTTCAACCATGTGCAAGCGCACGTGCGAACGCTGCATGCTTGACTAGTTTATCTTGAATAACTAGATTACCATCACAACACTATGTACTTATTCCCATCACAACACATCACAGAACGATTGTGACATCACAGGAAAAAGGTCTATAGTTAGTCCAACTACAATGCTTGGGCTTGCCCCACTATAGTCTGCAAATTCCTATTGAAAATTTCTCAACCTCCTCAAAGTTTATGCAGCTCGCAGCTGACAGAATTCATCCAACATATGCCAACCTGGCATTTCATCCACAACACAAATTAAAACTAGTGTCTTCAACCACATGCTGCTGGGATATTAAACAATATAATGTTGGCACATGCTATGGCACACACTGGCACTGTGCTATAGTTGGGGTGTATAGCATTTAAGTGCTAGCCAGTCCCAAGTATAGTTAGGACTACAGTAGACTATTGACTGTTCTCTCCAACTTTCTCACCTGCCCTGCTTCAACAACATACAGTACCCAGTCAGCCTTCTCTGTCAACGTTCGAAATTTGAGGCACGCCATGTCCGACGTGTCGTACGTGAAGCCACCGTCTGATTTGACAATCGTCAAGGGCACAGTACCAGTGTCAGTGAACATGATCTTCCGGCCTTCGTCCAATTCTAGAAAGCCTGAGAAATTGAGGAAGGGTAGTCTTTGTCACGATACTGACTGGCCACGGGTTCTACCTTTTCCCACTAGTTCATCTGCCATTTAAGAATGATCATTTTCAGGCCAGGCTATCAATTAAAACGTTTGGTAGATGTTTCACATTATGAACTCGCTCGGTGTCGTGTAAACTACAAACAGTCATGTCATGGTCTGGCTTGAAGTTCATTTATCCGTGTTTTTTTTGGGGGGGGGGCAGAGCATCACAAGCACAAATTTTCATATAGCTCGATTGTACCATCTAAGTCACATGACCTATAGTGGGTATTAACTATCAGCAAACATGGTGTCCACCAAAAGCAAGGTGTTTCATAAAAATACCCAAATAAAGCTGACGGTAGATAAAGCACAAGACCGTAACTTGGCTGTATTTTTTGTAAACAAAAACACACATTGCTAAGGGGTTAATACCCACTATAGGTCACAGGATTTAGCAGTTTGTATTAAGCTATATAATTTGTATTGAAATATGACGTCTTTTCCATAATTAGCAAACTGGGGAAATCCACTTCATGGAATTTCTAGCTGAGTGAGCATATTAACTTTGGGCATGAAAAAGACAAAAATGTTTGAAATATGAGGTTTTCAATTTGTATTGTCCAAAAGAATCCAATACATATCCCGCAGTATACACACAGGACTCTCAGGGCAGATCTTTATCCAATCAGTGCATGACCTGCTGAGGGCACCGTTTTCTAGTTCCATGATTGACCGAAAGATAAACTTTTTTTGGTGTGCCACGGTTCACCTTTGCTCTCCAAGTCCTGGACTGTCTCCACCATCATATCTTGGTAGAAGGATTCTCCGTAAGGTACGAGGTCCTTAATGCCAAGGCGATCATAGATCTCATCAAAAGCTGAATTCAAGAGGAACAACAATTCTTAAGATGGCTTTATAATCAGAAACAGGTAAAAACTATGATTTGCATTAGCATTATGAAAGCAACAACAAGAATGAATGTGTGTAGCAACAATCTTTTCCAAACTTTAACAGTGAAGATGTAAAACAGCAAATCTACACAAGTACGTTTGACAGTCTTGAAGACAGGGGCATTATACTGTCACATCGTACCTCGGTATGAGATATCACAGATCAACTGCCATGCTTTGTAGATATCGGGTTCCTTGGCTTGCAGTCGGACCACCAACGAGTAGGCACGCTTCTTGAATTCGGGCTCTTCATCAAAGCGAACTTTGGACTCCTGCAGTTCAGAACCACACAAAGCCTCAATAATATCCCACCAATATCATAATTTTCGTCATCATTGTCAGCTTATTTTTTTTCACTTGACATCTAGACTGGTAGCATTGGATATATGAATATCTGGTACTGAAGTTGAGGGCACCCTCACCTACACCTACCTTGTAGAAGGCCTGCAGGTCTGAGATTGGAGGAGATTCCGTCAGGTAGTTTGGGAAGCGATCCTGGAGGTGAGCGATGAGCATCCCAAATTGGGTGCCCCAGTCACCAAAATGACTGACCTTCTGTACGTCATGACCTGTGAGGAAATCAGCATACAATTCACCTTAATACAAACTGCCATGACATGTACAATCAATGCTTCTCACAAAACACAAAATATAGACCTCTGTAAGGCATCTATCAGAAATTCTCTACATCCACTCTGACAGATTCGATTCGATACAGTACACTGTATGAGGGTTCACAGGATGTAACGTGAAGAAGTGTAAAAGTGGTGTCTTTGTGGCAAACATTTGGTGCTGCACGGTCCTGAAAATTGCTTCTGTCCCATAGTCCAATTTGGTTGAATCTCTATTTACAATGGAAACCAATATTTATGATGTGTACACTTAAATTCGGAAAGTCAAAGTTCAATTTTACACATTTTTTTTCTTGGCAGAGGGGGGAAGGTGCACTCTCTTGAAACTGAAGGGGCTTTCACACTAGACAAATTCCCCAGGAATTACTCGGGGAATTTGGTTGGTCTGTTCACACTACCAAAGAAATTCCCGGGGAAAAGCTTTTCCCTGGGAAATATTTACCCCTGCTCTGGAGTAGGGTTAAAGGAGAAAACCCTGGGGTTTAATGTTTTTCCCACGGAAAAGCAACTAGTGTGAACGTCGGCAGGTGTGAACTTAACCCACCTTTTTTGCATCCACGGCTAGTGTGACAAGCCGTAATATTGAAAGGTCACAGGGTCACAAATAGCGCGCCAAATAATTTGCGCGGTAACTTAGTACAGTAATGCAGTAACTTTCAAACTTTTCATAACACTATAACACCAGCACGCAAATACTGGTGAGATGGGCAGCCATTCTTGTACTCATAACGTCAACTTGGCATTGTGCGAAGTAAACAACAGCACCTTGTGCATGCGCGCACGGCATTGTGGGATTGGACTTCCACCCACAATTCATTTGGAAACTTCTGGATGGGCGCCCTCCGTTTACACATTTCCCGGGGTTTGATTGCCGTTGTGAAACAACTGTGCATAGTCCCAGGAAATAGTGTCCCTAGGAGTTACCAAATGGGTCTAGTGTGAACGGTTGCTGGGGTTTTGGTGGGGTAAGAAATCCCCGGGATTTTCCCGGGGATTTTTTCCTGGGGATTGGCTCTGCAGTGTGAAAAGGCCTTAAGGAGTTATAAGGACTTTCAACATTCACAGCGTGTTGGTACAGCGTGTGGGTATTGTGGTCAACTTTTGTCTCAAGTGTTCTGCATCCTGTATTGCGCCACAAGTGCCAGGAAGGAGACATTATTAAATTCTTCAATACCTGTACCAGCAAAGAACACATGCAAACAGACAAACATTGGTCATTCAATTTTCAGACATTTGAATCACTGTTTATACCGCCCTTACCAGCAAACTGCAAGAGTCGAGCGATGCTCTCGCCAATGATGGTGGAGCGCAGGTGGCCCACGTGCATCTCCTTGGCGATGTTGGGAGAGGACATGTCGATGATGACCCGCTTTTTGCGGTCTGTCTTGGGTGGCCGCACCCCCTTGGTTAGGATGTCGCTGATCACCGTGGAGACGAAGGGGCGCCTGATGTGGACGTTGATGAAACCAGGGCCGGCGATTTCCACCTGCAAGTGGTAAGAGAGAGCAACCTCTTTCAAAAAACTTGAATATTTTTTAGTTCCATCTGTTTAAATCAGTAATCAATATACAGTGTGATATTTCAATGGTACATTTACTTGACAAGACACACGCATGACGTCGTTTGGTCCAAAAGAAAACTTGTCAAATCTTGATATGCAAATGCCAGGCTGATATACATAATTGGCTCATTTAGTTTTCTCTGCTTTGTGAACAAGCATAGCAAAAGACTGCATCTGAGATTCAGAAATGGGCTTTGAAACAAACTCGACTCTTAAAGAGAGAATGATATTGTGATGGGTGGAAATACCTTCTCTATGACGTCATTGAGTTGCACGTTCTGCACAATAGCTTGAGCAATTTCATTAGGTGAAATCTTCCTTCCAAGAGCTCTCAATTGCTGGTGAAGATAAAGAAAATACAATAATACCTTAATTTTAAAACAGTGTCAGAGACAAATGCATCAATGCAATGAAAGGACCTATCAGTAAAACTAAAATTCAGATTTTCAACCATCTCAATACCTGAGCAATAGCCATGGCACTGTTGCACTGGTAGTCACCAAAGCGGTCACTCTTGCTGGCCTCCACCGCCACAGTGGGGTCGACCAGATCCGGGAAAGCGGCCATGATGGCATATGCAAAGACGCCCTCTAGCTGCTGAGTGATACTTGTCATTGCAGTGTCGTTTCCGGCCGTCGTGGCAGATTGCTTCTGTTCCTCCTCAATACTCTGCAGAGAAATGTGGCCGATGAAATATGAGATGGAAGCGAGTCTCTCAAGATGCGCAGAGAAGTGATTGATCAATTTCTTGAGTTGACACCCTCTATACCAACTAAGGGTGGATCCGGGGAGGGGGGGCAGGGGGCAACAGTGACCAAGGCATCCCCAAAAGCACCTCCATTACTTTTATTTTTAAGTGATGAGAGAAAGGCAGTTTATTTTGGTCTATTTCATTTCTTTTCCCTTAGAAAATACATAAAATCTGCCAAAACTGGAGTGCTGGAGAAATGTTCCAAATAATTTCACCCAATTGCTTTGACCAATCCAACATCAAATCTAATTCCCTTATCATTCTTGCCCAAATCTCTCCAAAATCCTCCACTGTGAATTTTTTTTATTCATAACTTTACGGGAACATTAGTTTCAGGTGGCAGTTACCCTAAGAAATCTGACACTAAGTTTGTTGTTGCTTTCATTTTTTTTATCCTTTTACAGAGAATAGGTGCATGTAAAATGAGCTGGAAGACCAACATAACCGCTAGTATACGGCAAGGCATAGCCTGTAAATTTATCATTATTCTGTTAGCTGGTTAAAGGGGTCCATTCAAAGTTACCCTTGCATGAGCTTGATGTCCGTGATTTTCCACGACTTTTGCCTCATCTAACAGGATTCCATGACAAGATTCAATGATTCCAATTTTTCCCCACATTTTCCATGACTTTTTCCAAGAATTTTCCTGAGACCATGAGAACCTTGGACAGAGGTTGGGATCTACTTTCCTTAATCAACAAAATTTTCTGTGAGTCTTGCAGCGGATTCCAATGATCTTGTAAGGTTCGGCATCTACTTTGAATTCTTCTAAGTTTAAATTGTGGAGTTTGCCTCTCACCCTCAGCAGGTGCGCCAAGCGATACTTCAGCTTCTGGTTCTCAATCCTGAGCTGGTTCAGCTCTGACGAGGAGTCGTCATTCTCATCCATCACCTCTCCATTCTGGAGTTGGCAAATTTCCTGTTTCAACTGCGCAATCTCTGCTTCCTGCGATGAAATTGAAATCGGTTCCTTTTAAGTTAGGATTTTGATGTGGAATCCTGCGCAGGTCTTCTTGTGCTTATACGAAAAACAATTTCTGAGTTTGAAAATTGCTCAATTTTGCAATTTTGGCAATTCACACAAACACACATCCCCCCAAAGCTAAAAAGAAACAATCAAAGAACAACAGTTTGACAAAGGAAACTGTGGGGTGTCCGGTTGAACAGCAATCCAGATCCGATGATCCAGTTGCTTATTTTACTGGATCAAAGCATTATAAACCACTAATTTATCAAGATGATAATGAAAATCAATGCAACACATGTACAACAACATCCCTACAAAAAGGGCACATATTCCAGGCTAACCCAGGCTAACCTGATGGTACAAGGGCATTGTGGGAAGGAAAAGGGGCAAATTAATGCCTTTGTACCACCTTACAAAATCATCAATGCAGTATTTGCGACAAGGCTTACGGCCATACTAGAGTTTAACCTGTGAGGAAAGGTTCCTGACAAAATGTGAATTTACCAATCAATTTGATGTAGGCCTTATTTTGAAAGACTGTTGAACATGTAATATTGAAGTGAATATACTCATGTTTCACTATAGGCCTAGGGAGATGTGTCTCCTTAAAAGCATTGCAACGTATACAGTCAAAATTCTGATCTGGAAATTTTGCTTTCCGATGAGTGAGGCCTTCGATACAAAGTACTCTAGTGATCTGATTTGGAAAGAGTTCCATATACTGACTATGACACCAATAACTATTCCCTACAGTGTCAGTGACCAATGAGCCATCTGTGAAAGCCAAAACTTGTCCAGAAAAGTTCAATTAAGGAGGGAAAATACTGAGTCGTTTACTTACAAAATACTTCGAAATTATGGACTAGTCTCAAAGGGTTTTGTGCACAGGGTGTCAAACGGTGTCTGTATATGGAACTCCTTCCTCAGATTTATTAGGAATAACCAATAGCCTTGATAACATCTGGCAGGGGCACTACTAGTAGTACTAGGCTACATGTACTATGCTAGTGGTGTTAACCAAACTCTTGAAACTTGTGCAAATTTGTTGCAGTCTATCCTGAGTTGATTACCTTTGACCAAATTCTATTCATAGGACAATCAACTCAAGAGGGAGTAACATAAATTGGCGCAAGAGTCAAGATTGCGCTTGTGACTACATGTATTTATGTAGCTGCAGCCATGGAGGTAGATTCTACCTCCATGCTGCAGCCGCCCGCAAGGGGCCTACCACCTGGCCACCTACATTAAGTTCACTCATGCCTCATTCGGCCTACCTGCTTAGCAGCACGTTCAGTGTACTTGGTAACAATTTCAGACATTCTGATGGCAGTGTATCAACCATACAAGCCCAAAGGAAACACTGGTGAATGCAAGGAATACTAAAATTAGGTTAAAAGCTGACACAGTATTTAACATACGCAGACTCGACCCGAATGATGCAAGCCAAGCGAAAAGCCTGCCTGGCCTGCATGCATACGGAACACATGTCTAGTCTCGTGAACTCTGACCGCACATCGATTAAAGGTGCTGAACGAATACTCCGATGCTACACGTATACGAATACCGAACCGAATAATCCCAATGATATTTTGTTGTTGGCATGTACGCGGAAGGTGAAAACTATGGCAATTCTTTAATTTTGCTTGGAAACAGTGACCACGGTCTGTATGGGCGGCAAAAGTTTGCCTCAAATTCCACAAGTGTTGCCTCAAAACCTCATTTTTTGGTTTAATGACTGTTAAAATAGGGAGCATTTTCATTGTATATTTAGTAAAGTTTTCATCATTTAGGGATTTAATATTTGCGCCATATTTTCAACACTTAATCAGTACATTATTTTTCGGTTTTGCACTCACAACTAGCCACAGTTTTGCCAGCCACGGTTGAAAAAAAAATCTTCACTAGTAACGTAGCAAAAGAAAGCTCCATGGAACTGACTGCATGGACCTTTTCATTAATCCATTCATAAATACACGCGTGCGCGTATTGAAAAAGCTAGCAGCCCATTGAAAATGTACAGCGCCGGGATAGGCCTACAAACTTCATTTCTCTCAGGTTCTTCGATTTTTTCCCACACTTTTGTCTTCAGGAAAGCAACTAGCATCGCTGCAGCTATAACGTCCTAGATCTAAGTGGGTTTCAAGATGTACGACATAGACAATAAAAAAAATCTGCTTTCGCTTCGCGTGCAGTGTGAAGAAACTAAGTTTGTGACTCAGGTCACCACCAGTTAACTTTTGTGTATGTGTGCAATTTAATTTCTAATCACGCAAGTACATTGCTTGTAGGCATATTGTGTTCAAAGCTAATGGAAGAACGTTCCCCTACGGGACAACAGCATACAGATAGATTTTGTTGTAACAACAGCAAATATGGCCTACTTGTTACGTTCAAAACTCTGAAGTGAGAGCGTAATAAAATACAGTCAGCGCTAAGAACACACGGCGCAGTCGCCGCTGGGGTTGTATGAGAATCGGCATGGTACCCAGTTGAATAGTACAGTTTTCAGGCTCACTTTTAGAGCCATGCTGATGCCTTTCGACCTTGTGCACCAGCCAAAAAAGTTTGTGAAGTCTTTAATTTGTTTTTATTAAAACACCCATCAGGATGGTCACGCTCTCTACTATGCAAGCCGCCATGACCATTCCTGCGCATGCGTACCCCAATACCGGACAATTGCAAATTATCACTTGATGTGGCTATTGTTCGTGTACGCGTATGTCTGCGTTAAAAATAAACGTGGCAGTTGGCAGAGGCCCAGATAACCGTCAGGCAAAGGAAGACATCATAGGCACCCATGATACAGTGACATTCAACGCTTGTCACAAATCATTTTTGCTGGACATCCTAGTATCTTTCATGGGGGGGGGCTCTATTCGTGTGCGTGTTCGATTTTTTTTCTATTTTGAGCATGAAATTGAACATATGAAAATTGAACATGTGCACTTATACCCTTTAATTTCTTTAAATGACAAAAAAAATTAACGCTGGGTTGAGTGGGAGACAAAGTAAGGAACATTTACAAGAACTACTTTCAAAAATTCCACGGGAACTTTTAACGTTGTGCAGAAGGATAAGGGCTGACAGGCAATTGGGGCCTCATCAACCTTATTTATAGGGTGGTAATCGCTGCAGGTTTCATTTTCCAAAAGAAAACGCTCTCCTTGGCGTTTAACCCCCAAAAGTTTCCCCGTTTCTGGTCAGCACGCGCGTCGCCATAGACCTTCGCGTGGGCAAAATAGAAAAGAAGTTTTATTTGGTATAAAACGATGTCAAAAGCTGCCAATCTTGCTTAATCGACCGTAATCCTGCCTCCGCGTAATTTTAACGTGTTTCTGACGGGGTACGGTTGAACAGTATGGACATTGCGCGCTATACGCATCATTTCTTACACCTCTTATATCATTCCTTATACCTATCACATGAAACATTTCCAGAAAAAAGTGAGTTTAAAAAACAAACAAACCAATAAACCAAAAAAACAAAACAAACAAACAAACAAACAAACAAAAAACGCGTCAACACACCACTTTTAGAGCCAGCTCCTGACCAGAAACAGGAGATTTTATTCGCCGTATTAAAGTGGGCTTACTTCGAAAGTAGCCACTCACTCTTGATGAATAGCGCCATCTTGCGTTTGACAAGTGTACTCATCTTGTCTGGGGTGTGTTTTAGCGACCAGAAATATGAACTTGTTTCCGCTTCGGTGTTTTGACGTTGGTTAAGCGTTTTCGTGACTTGGTTATGTCTCTGATCTGACTGATGAACGAGACCCGAAGGTTGGAGTTGTTTCAGCGCCAGCATGAATAGCGGAAAATAAACAGACAGTTTTGCCGCCCCTCAAATGAGTGGATGATACATTTCCGTATGTTGTTGTTACAAGCAGTAAATTAAAGGGATACTTTCTTCCAAATAACATGATGTAAAAAGAGGGAGCAGAAATGGTGACAAACATGCCAAACATTGAGTTAAAATGATGTTTACGAAAAGAGTTGCCTGTTTTCTTGCGCTTGCTTCCGTCAGTGACGTAACCGTTTCGGGTTCTTCGTCTCTGTGTGTCACTCATTGTTTTGAGATAAAACCACGCCCCATGAATAAAGCATTAGCTAGGCAGCCGGGCTAGGGTTTGAAATAGATTTGGTTTTTTCCATTTTAGCGAGTGAAAATTGTTTATTGACTTGTAGCAGTAATGTAACCGATTCATGTACTGGACTCACGTCACAGCGTTACCTTGGTAACATACTGCTTTTAACGACTTGGCCAAATTATTGTCATTATAGTTCAGACGTTAAGCCTGTGAATCAAAATACAGCTGTTACAACGACAGATATGAAAGGGAAAAATGACAATACGGAGGCCATCTTGTTATTCATTCACTTTTTATTCAATTAATTAAAAGCCCAACAGCGGGTATCTATATTGTAGTGGGTCAAATTGGGCTTTTTTATCTGTGTTCGGCATGTGCAGTCTTATTCTGAATTATGACGACTCTTTAATCCACACTGACGCGATTGCTTGAGATTCTAAGGCCCACATATAATGATACAAATCATTTTAAACATGTCAAAACATTACCACTTGAAAAATGTCAGTATTGCTACAAAATCATACCAACATTACAATGTACTGCCTCCTTGCTCTCAACATTAACGAACTCCAGCGCTGTACTTTGCAACTCCAAGCAACAAGCCTAAAAAACAACTATGTAGATATTTCAACGTCGCTTGAAGACTTCAGGAAATAAAATGCAACAAAACAATACTATGCATGTCTCTCTTACTTTTTCGGGGGGGTCGTTATTTGCTGTGAATACATGTACTGAATATTCTAAAGTATACACAAGATACATTGTTCAAAGATTATAACACCGTATTGACATGGAATGACTAAAACAGATAAAAATGATTGCACATTTTAAATTACAGCTTAATCGTAAATCTTCAAATTACGACTCGACTGTTGGGAAGAACATGTACCGATGCATTTCACACACATAAACATGAAAATAGGTTCGTTATTAAGATATAAGTTCTCACTTTGCTAATTTTACCTTGTTGGTATCGCCCGGGTATAGTGATCCACCCGATTGAACTCGAACAACTTGTAGCCCACAGGTTGGCAGATGCAGAGAATATTCAACATCGCAAATCCTTTTCTATTGCTATAACACAATGCACATTAGTTACTGATGACATCTGAACTCTGCACGGCTTGTAAGTCTTACCTTCTTGTAATGAACTAAACATCGTGCATGACGCAGAGTTAACACAACTTTTTCCCAGGGGAAACTGTTATGATTTCACTCCTTGTAACATAATTTTGTACCCTAACATGGCCAGCCCCTATTAACGTGGCACACTTTGAATTTTCGCCTCTAGTGCCTTGACAGAGCAATTTTTTTGGGCCTCAAATTTCGTAAAAGTGAAATTTCATCACACGCCCAATATGGTGAATCAAACATTTCACTCAACCGCTACAAACTTCCGATAAAACATCATTTCTGATTTCTTTTTCTGAAGTCCGAAATAAACTCTTTCAAAATGCGCCAAAATACGAAAACAGTTTTCTAACAGACTTGTGGTTAGGTATGTAACGAAGGCAATTGCAATTAATCAACTTGAAAGAACTTCTTAAATGTTTAAGTGCATGGATTTTTCAAGTGCACCATGTTAGGGAACGCTCAACTGAATTCTTGCCCAATCCGGACGCTTACGTTTTTTAATTTCGGGTGAAATTTCATGACAGTGAAATTGTCCCCAAAGGTTGAGCAACACATTATTATTCCATTATTTAACCAAATGAATTTGTATTTTTTCAACAAGAGGCGTGGTGACACTAGGTAAGAAAAGTCAAACGAAAGTCGAAGTGCGCCACGCTAGATTGTACTATATACCACAAAAGAAAGATTCGTCTCAATCAAGGTATGAAGCGCCAATTAACCCAGATTTGAGCGTATCGTAAATCAAATGAGAAGTTGGACGTTTTACTGTAAAATATAAATCACTTATGTTCGATCGCATAATGCCCCATGCACAAGTCTAATTGACGACGGTTCCTCCAAAGAATAATTAAATTAAATTAAATTGTAATTAAATTAAAGTCTTAATATTATCTACAAATTTAAGAGAATACACGAAGTATTGTGTGGCAAGCGTAAAAAATCAATGGCGTGCAAAACCATGTACTTTGCATTCAATGATGATGCATCCAATGAAGGACGATTTTACAATAGCGTGCTACCTCCTTCCTTCATTGTTTACAGTGGTATCACACAAAGACAACTGTCTTTGGAAGCCTCGTAAAAACATTAATCGTTACTGCGTCCAAAAAGGTTTGAAAATGCCGCGTCATGCCAACTGTTAATTTTTCCTGGGCCGCGCTGCAGACGATTCACTCCTTGGTAATCTCTAGTTTGTATCCGCCCCGAGCTGAAGTGCACCCCCAATAGGCGAAATAAAGACAGGTGGTTACAAGCGGGTTCTTGTGTGCGTTCTGCGTGTACGCAAAGCCGGAATAAATTAGTTACGCTACTCAGCGTGCTTTGCGTCAAACGCGCATATACTTGGGTGCCTCATGGCGCGCCTATGCGGTGAGTACCAAAAAACACGCCCTCTTTTGTTCCGCTCGAGGGGATTGCAACAAACTGGCGCAATCCAACAAACCATACGGTTGCAGACCAGTAAATTAAACCGCATAGACAAAAATACTAAATACCGTCACTTCAAAAAAATCAGGATACCTAAACTCACAAAGCTAATTTATCAGGTGTTCGTGACACACCTCAATATAGAGCTCATTCCCTTATCTTTAACATTCCTTTCAATTTTTAGTGGCTTAACCAATGACTTTAAAAGATATCTTTATCCACAACGTATCACTCGTAGAAACAGTCGTATAAAAGCCCACCGCTGTTTTGAAAATCTATGCCTAGACATTCAACATTCCATTGCAAAGTAGAGCACTGATTTCCTCCCAAGTGTCGCTCAGACACAAGCTGACATTCCTGTTGGTAGCTTTCCTCGCCACAAATCTTTATTAAGTTCACGGACCACAAAATGCTCCGACAGTGGAAAATTTGACAGAATGCAAACTGTGATTTGGCCGACGCAGGCAATGTGGGTCTATTTGCCGGCCCGCAACCAGAACTTCGTCATTGTTTAAAATGGAACTCTACGGAGACGGAATGCCGGCTAACTGCCAGGAGAGTTGCGCTGTATCGACACTAATTTGGAACATTTGCAGCGTAATATCCAGCGCTCTTACAGCCTTTTTTAATGTCACATGACGGCCTATAGGCCAGCGTGACTCGCAAGTGCAAATACATTATCATGTGCTGTAACCAAAAATAAGTTAACTCTTTCATTAAAGCTCAGTACCAAAGTAATTCTTTCTAAAAAGGGCAATAACTGGAATGAATGAAGTAAATTCAGATAATAAATGAAAACAAAGTTGACCTAAGAAACAACACGACCGAAACCCATATGCCCGGTACGTGTCTGCTTCATCAGTAACTTTCCGTCTTCATTTTACATAATGCCAACATACCAAAATAACTAAAGATTCGTCCTGACAAATAACTTCACGAGGTGGCGTCAAACTTGCACCATGATTAATTGAAAATGCTTTAGGCAAATGAGAACAAAATAGACAAGCACCATTACTGCGTTTGGTATCTTTGGGTCAGATATTGTTAAACTGATTTTTTAAATATCACTTTGTACATAATATAGGAACATGTAAGTCTTCTTCAATCACATTTTACTAACATTTTTGTACTTTTTAGTTTATTGAATAAACCTTTGCTTCATATCAATTTCTGGGAAATCTAACTCAGAAGGAGAAAAATTTGATACAGTGGTTGGCCGTATCGGTCACAGCAACTTTACAATCCCCTGCCATGGCAACGCTCTCTGGATGTCGAAGGTCATCAATGGGGTCATCTAGCCGTCTGATGAACCGACCATTAATATCGAACATTAACAAGCAGTGGTTACCAATGTCAGCGACCAGAATGTTACCTTCGCAGTCCACTGCAAGGCCACTGGGTGACCGAAACTCCCCGTCCATTTTCCCGCGGACGCCGAATGCTCGCTCCAGGGTCCCGGACATCTCAAATATGTGGACGGTGTGACTGGAACAATCGGTCACCACGAGGTCGTCGCTCTTAGTGGCGGCGATGTGCTTGGGGTGACGGAAGGCGTTGTCCGAGGTCCCGTAACGGCCCAGGAGTCGGAGCGGGGTGCCGTAGCGGTCGTACGACCGAACCACGCGGGCGTACACGTCGACCACGTGGATGTGACCGTCGCTGGTGACCGCAGCCCCTCCAGGCATGCCCAGGTCGTGCTTGCCGACTTGACGCAGCAGCCTGCCTTGTAAGTCACACACCAAGACCTGCTTGTTGTTGATATCCGAGACGACCAGCCTCTCGCTCCCGTCCATGCTCAGGTGACGCGTGATGCCCACGAAAGTCGGCGTGAACTTCTTGCTGAGGTTCTTCACCACCAGCTTGCGCAGGAACTTCCCGTCCATATCGAAGACCTGGATCCGGTTCTTGTAGTCCGCGACAAAGACGTGCTCGGTGTCGCCGCTGACGGCTACCCCGAGGGGCTTGCAGAGCTGCCCCTCCGCGGCACCCTTCACGCCGAACTGGTGCACCAGCCCGACGAGGGACGAGGAGACGGACTCGTTGGTCTCGAACTTGCGGTCCAAGAACTCCATGAAAGACACCACCAGCATGCTGTCGGGCAGGGTTTGTATCCCGGCCGCTGGGATGGGCACCGACTCCCGGCAGACGGGGCACTGGAGGTTCTTGGCCCGGATAGGGCGAGCGTTGAACCACTTGAAGAGACAACGGGTGCAGAATGTGTGTTGGCACGGCAACTGTTTGGGTTTTAAGTAGCGTCCCAAGCACAGGGGACACGTCAGGAAGACGTCTCGAAGCTCTGTTGATAGCTGCATGGCACTGTACGAAGTCATCGTTGTCTCTGTGCTATGAAAAGAAACAAACAATATGGGGGGAAACGAAAAGGTCAGAAATGCATTTTATAAGGTTGTAATTTGATAAAGTTACATCAACCGAAATGACGTGAATTTTCTAGTCTGAACATTTTCCGTCAAGACAATCGAGTCATCAACACTCCTAATTTTTATGCGGTAGGGGCCTACATATACCGTTGCTAGCATTCACATGTCACCCGTGTACTTTGCTCAAAGTGACGTTGCGAGGACGTGCGATGCACGCAATGGACTGGCTTGTCTCCAACTGTAAACCTGGGCACGAACATTGCACCTTGTGCGCGTCATGAGGGGCACAATTTCCATTTCCGGTGCATGCACTTTTGCACGCGGATCGATCTGGAAATTTTATACTAGTCGGATAATAAGCGCGCTTTGCTTGATCCTCCCTTCATGAAGCGGTCTTATCCACCTCTGCTCCCCCTGGGCTTGCGCGGATACTATAAGCTCACCAGGTGTTAAACTCGTCCCGTAATCAGATCGACGACCGGACTACTGTTTCGTTCCTTAGGGGCGTATCAGGCCAGGCTTTGGCGGGGCGAGGTTCAGTAATACGGTGTGCGGATTGCACCAGAGCAGTTCCGCAGCAATACGTAAAGGATGCGCAGTTGTCGACAGCTACACATCAGTTTAGATGGTGTAACGGTCACGGTTATCGCTATTGCTGGAATTGATGCGTAGGGTCTTAAGTGCACAGGAGCAGTGTTGAAAGAATTGATTTCACGCTGTCCTGGATTAGATGTAAACTGGTACCGCAGCTGTTCAGACAGTCTCTGTATCTCTCGAACTTAAAGGAGATGAAATGGACTTTTTGTGACTTGAATATACGTAGGCCCTATACAGGAAAGCTTTCGAGCAATATTACTATGTTTTCTTCTCCTCTGTAACAGTAAAAGCGAGAAACATCATTTTGGTAATATACAAATGAAAACTGCTTATATCCGTGACCTGAAGCCTGATGTTATCCATGCCAGAACAGAGGTGGCTCCTTAGTTCTGTGCTCAAATGTATAAGACTTTCTTCGTTTTTCTTGGAGTTAAGCTCTACCTTTTAGTTATTTATCGTGTTGAGTAGCTTAGTGTACAATAGATTACTATTACGTCAGTACTTCTTCAAAAGTTTGTTGGGGGCTACCTGAAAGCGAAGAATGTTTGTGCTTTCTCTTAGGCCTATGCTCTTTTGACGGGTATACCCTTTACACTCTAGTGCCTTGAATATCAAAAAGGAAAATAACACCCTCTAAGATATGCTGAAGAAAAGATTTTTCTCAGAATGGAAAAACTACCGACCTCTTTGTGGTAACACATAGTAGCACGTATGAAACAAGAGGAACTGAATGTTCTTTGTATATTTCCTTAAACGAAACGATTTCATGAATTATTATACTAAACACTTCTGTTTCCTTGTCTTGCCCTGCCCCTTTATCCCGTCCATGCGTCACGCTGGTTTGTAACCGTTTAGGGCCTAATTCAGTTTTCAGTTTAGAGTAAAATGACACTACACAGCTCCGCTGAGATTCACAATCACTCGTATAACCTATTTTGACATCCGGTCTTTAAGCATCTGCTCGGATCTGCTGCTTGCATAGGCTATAAATTTGGATAGACGACAGAGCAAAATCTTACAAGGCCCTGTGACCGGGCATAAAGTAGGTTCAATCAGGGAGCCTTTTAACTGATCGAGCAAACAGCGGGCCCTGACGCCGGGAATTATGGACTCGACCAACGTTTCTCTCGCGGTTGTACTTTTCTCGGCAAATATTCGCAGAGACGGACGATTCCGTTTCGGAATGAAGTCAAATCACTTTGACCCGTGCACAGACTCCGTCATGATCGCTGTAACCCGATTCCATACGGATGAGCTTCCGCACACGTCAAGAGTCTTCATCTGTTATTCAGCACGCGCTTAATTGTTTTCCTTGTCTAAGATTTCATCCCGAGTTAAGGGACAGGGGAGGGTTCAAGACGACCGACCTGCCATCATCAACAAGAGCTGTGGTCGAAATGGCAACGGTGATTTTCGTGGGTTTTTTTTTTGGAAAGAATGGCATTGGAACTATACCTGAACTGGCATGTTATTTGGCCCCTATATCAAGTGCAAATAGGCCTATCTTCCACTCAATTTAATCTAAACGAAGAGAAATCAAATCAAGACGCGCGTACAGGATGACTGAAATCACAGATTGATTGAACGAACCAAACTCGCGTCTTCCCCGCTTTCACTTTCAATCGCGCATAGTGAATTCTCATTCCTTAGACTTTTGGGGGTAAACTTCCATTTATTATACGGGGGAAGTTTTTTCCCCACAAGACTTAGTAAGAGTCAACTTACCCAGTTCCCGACCCTATCCTTTCTTTTCTTTTGACCAGCAAAACGCTTTTTCACTTAGTTACTGCTTTCATGTGCCTGCGTGCCGGCGTGCGTTGACTGATTTTCTTTCCTAGCAAGAGTACGACGGAGAACTCCGGGCACATAGGCTCCACGGAAACCCCGTCCTGGAACTAATTGAAATTGATCGCTGTGCAACTCGTTTTGCGCACCGATGCATCAGGCCAAAATGATAAAGGAAGGGAAATCAATCCACTTCCCCAAGAAAAACACATGGAAAATAAAAACATGGACTACTGAACCCCGGGACGAAACAGAAATCAAATATTTTCGAAGAAAAAGAAACAGCATGTAGGCCTATATATTCTATTTTACAAACGCGAAGTAAGGATTTCGATCAACGGAGGATGATTTTCAACACGAGCGAAGTGCGGCTACATGACCGCAAACTATGAGTTCCGTTCCGCGAATTGTGGGGGGAAAAGAATGGAAATTCGCACCCCACAGGGACACTCGTTGCTGACAAAACACTATCAACAAAAGTAAGTCTGTGGAAAGGGAAACTGAGCCAAAAAAAAAATCAATAATAGTTTCTCATATCCCACCAATGTTGCCTCCATTCTTTCGCTGGGATTCGGTCGGTAGAACGTGCAACACCCAGAGCGGTTTGGTTATTGAGAATGCATTATTTAACCGAGCTTGGCGGGTCAACTATAGCCCCAGGCCCAATAGTTCCGGCTCGACATTTCGAAATAATATCCAGGAGGCGAGACTATCGGCCTACGAGATTTGGAGATACTGGAGTCGCAGACCGGAGATGGAAAATTAAACTTGACCGAGTTCTTGCGTTATTGCGCGGAAATAATTCGCAACCAGTAAAACACCGACCAGTCAACATGACCGAAAATAATTAAAGTCTGGAAGTGGCGCGTTGGGTTTTGTTAAGAAAAGCGAGAGAAATCTATTTGGTGTCCGAGGGCGATAAGCTGGAAAGTATTTCGAGAAAGTCGATGAATTTCCTGTTTGATACCACTTCTGGAGCTAATTAAACTGGCGACAAATTCGCCAAATCGATGGAAATTTATAACAATGAAACTTTTTCTTTGCTTCTGATGTATTATTGCTATTTTGCTCCGTTGCCAAAGTTCATTTTTCATACCTTTGCGCCCAAAACTTGCCACTCCTTGAAACACTCGAGCGGTAAAACTTACAGTTCAGATGTCTTACGTCAATGACACAAGTTCCCATGAGTGGTAAGATGTGGCACTTTAGTATCTCAAGCAATCTTCACGACCGAACAACATGCGGATTTACGGTCTCCGTCCCAGCTGAGTCAAGAGTGAAAATTGTTTACCTGTTTATCGAGACTTTCTCTGTCGGTCGGGGGAGATGCTAATGAAGATATTGGATCAGAGGGAGTAATCTTATAAATCAAATCAAAACTTCATCAGTCAAAAAACCGGGCGAAGGAAATCGAGTTAAGTGCGGATGAGGGGAGCGGCGGTGCGACATGCTTGCTCGCGGTAATTGCACCGGCAAGACGCGGCAAAAGGTGTGTGTGTGTGTACGGCGGTGTAAGGCGAGAACATGAAGCGGAGATTAATATCGCCGACGTCGTTACGGGTATCACGAGGGTAATGGAACTGCATTAACCGTCTGCATAAATATTTAGAAGAGAGTAAACATTGCTCCAGCCGCCTGCTTCCTTTCTTTCCTTACTGAAAAGTTGCAGTCAACTGCGAGGACTTCATATTACATATTTGGGATATGTTGAATTCGGATTGTTGACTTGACTCAATCGGCCTAAACCTCATTGTTCAGAAAGAACGTCTTTCGTCAGGTTCAAATATTAATTAAAAGTTCAAACTTTAGAGGACAGTTATATGTCAGGACATTAAATCGTTTTAAAAAGCTTAATCAAAACAATTTCTTCCAAGTTCCTATTTGGTCACTCAGAATATAAAACGACGGTATCGTTTCTCACTTTTTCGGGTGCAATATCAAAATTTAACTAATGAAATGTTTGCCTCTTAAATAGCGGCCAAATACCACACACATATATATCTCAAACGCACATCAATATGAACCCAGTTGTTTAATTTAAATGAAACTTGAATCTTTCAGTTTACTGAAGAATAATTGCTATACGGCGTGATACAAAATGCAGCGTTTTGACTATCCACGACGAGGCTCGAAACGAGGCCTTCCAGTGGAATGCGCATCCAGGCTTTAAGGTATTTAGAAGCATCCGTCTTCAATTATGGTTCCAATATTTAATATTTTTTCCATTTCACGGCATGGTCAATCTAATAACTGCACCTGCACGATCACTGGCGAAACAAATCTCCCCGCACCGCCCTGTAACATGAGACTGCTACAGTAACACCCCGAGATTGGTGCCGGTCCGCAGGGCCTGAAATGATGAGCCGTGTCATTCGGGGGTGAGCGCGCCGATCGATTGCTCACTATTTCCGGGACGCCCGTAATCGATAACTTCGCGCTCACGGGTGGGCTGCGTCGGCGAAAGCCGGACCCAAGGCCCCAAGTTGAGGAACCGGCGCGGGATGAAAGCCGGGAACTCGACAGGCTTATGGACAACTGAGGCGAGGAGGGACATGGATTCCGTCTGCTGGGCTCGTCCAATTC